TTACTGATGATAAAACATCCTAAAAATAAGATTTTTTTAAAAAAATAGTTGATTTGTATGGGCCAAATCCATCTTTCAGTTAGATCTGAACAAATTTCCTATCCTGGTCACAGAACTGAATTTGGCTTTAAGCATTTAATCTTCAGCGGTGCTGTGTTGTGTGGTGAGCCCATGCTGTGCTGTGACGGTCAGATGTCACACACTAAGTAGGGTCAGATAAGCTAAGCAGAGTCAAGCCAGGTCAGTATTCTAGGTACTGCATGCAGTGTTTTTGGGCATCCAATAGGTGGCAATTTTTCCTTTGCATCAATACTGAAGTAATAACTTGGCATGGTGTCCGGGGGTCAGAAGCTGTTATTGTCAGGAATGTATTATAAAAGAGGCTTTAGGGGTTGCTGTCCGAGGCTCTTAGCCTGGAGCCCTGGGATGCACAGAGCCAGTCCCCTCCACCCCCCCCCCGACCTTGCCCAGAAAATTCTGTCGGTTCTCCTGGGCATGTTAATTTCTGTGTACTGGTGCTGATAATTATATTCTGTCTATTATCAGAGGGGTAGCCGTGTTAGTCTGAATCTGCAAAAGCAGCGAGGAGTCCTGTGGCACCTTATGGTCCAACACTTCTGTTAGTCTATAAGGTGCCACAGGACTCCTTGCTGATTCTGTCTATTAACATCCTTTGCTGCACTGCCATTTCCCGAGCCAGAGGGAAAGTTTCCCTTCCTCTCACACACCAGGCAGAGCCAGCAACATAGGGGCTTTTGTGTAGTTGGAAAGCTTGACTCTCTCACAAACAGAAGTAAATCTAGTATAATGCATTACCTCAGCCATCTTCTCTCCACGGTACTCTTCTTCACTTTGCCATAAACTCCTGTGCCCGTGTTAAAAAGTTGTTACATTTCATATAGGAGAGGACTGAATTTTACTTCATAATTAAAAGGAATCCCTTTAAATCCATTATATACCACTTCTCACAGGGGAATTATGGGGCTTAATTAACTATGCCCCTGATCTACACTTAAAATTTATATCAACCTAGATACATTTCTCTGGTGTGCAAAAATCCATGTCCTTGAATACCATACCTGAGTACTATTAAAGTAATTCAGTTACTTGAATGGCAAGGCTTTTGTTATCTTAATCAACCTGCCCCTCAAGCTACATAACAAAGCTGGGAGCAGCACAAATGCTATTGCAGTGAAGAGCTAGTCTGGGGCTAGGGCAGGGGTGGGCAAGATTTGGCCTGTGGGCTGGATCTGGCCCACTAAGCCACCAGATCCCGCCTTAGGCATATCACTATAGATAGCTGGCTGCTCCCTGTGGCTCTCTGCACTGAGTGTCAGGAATGGGGGAACAGGAAGGTTTTGTGTGTTGCACCCTGCCCCCCCCCAAATCTCTCCATTCCCATTGGCTGGTTTCTAATAGATGACCAATAGGAGCTAAAAGATCATAGAATCATAGAATCATAGGACTGGAAGGGACCTCGAGAGGTCATCGAGTCCAGCCCCCCGCCCTCAAGGCAGGACCAAGCTCTGTCTAGACCATCCCTGACAGATGTCTATCTAACCTGTTCTTAAATATCTCCAGAGAGGGAGATTCCACCACCTCCCTTGGCAATTTATTCCAATATTTGACCACCCTGACAGTTAGGAATTTTTTCCTAATGTCCAATCTAAACCTCCCCTGCTGCACTTTAAGCCCATTACTCCTTGTCCTGTCCTCAGAAACCAAGAGGAACAAATTTTCTCCTTCCTCCTTGTGACACCCTTTTAGATATTTGAAAACCGCTATCATGTCCCCCCTTAATCTTCTTTTTTCCAAACTAAACAAGCCCAGTTCATGAAGCCTGGCTTCATAGGTCATGTTCTCTAAACCTTTAATCATTCTTGTCGCTCTTCTCTGTACCCTTTCCAATTTCTCCACATCTTTCTTGAAATGTGGCGCCCAGAACTGGACACAGTACTCCAGCTGAGGCCTAACTAGTGCAGAGTAGAGCGGCAGAATGACTTCACGAGTTTTGCTTACAACACTCCTGTTGATACAACCTAGAATCATATTTGCTTTTTTTGCAACAGCATCACACTGTTGACTCATATTCAACTTGTGGTCCACTATGACCCCTAGATCCCATTCCGCCATGCTCCTTCCTAGACAGTCGCTTCCCATCTTGTATGTATGGAACCGATTGTTCCTTCCTAAGTGGAGCACTTTGCATTTCTCTTTATTAAACCTCATCCTGTTTACCTCTGACCATTTCTCTAACTTGCTAAGGTCATTTTGAATTATGTCCCTATCCTCCAAAGAAGTTGCAACCCCACCCAGTTTGGTATCATCTGCAAACTTAATAAGCGTACTCTCTATCCCAATATCTACATCATTGATGAAGATATTGAACAGTACAGGTCCCAAAACAGACCCTTGAGGAACTCCACTTGTTATCCCTTTCCAGCAGGATTTAGAACCGTTAACAACAACTCTCTGACTACGGTTATGCAGCCAATTATGCACCCACCTTATCGTGGCCCTATCTAAGTTATATTTGCCTAGTTTATCAATAAGAATATCATGCGAGACCGTATCAAATGCCTTACTAAAGTCTAGGTATATGACATCCACCGCTTCTCCCTTATCCACAAGGCTCGTTATCTTATCAAAGAAAGCTATCAGATTAGTTTGGCATGACTTGTTCTTCACAAACCCATGCTGGCTATTCCCTATCACTTTATTACCTTTCAAGTGTTTGCATATGATTTCCTTAATTACCTGCTCCATTATCTTCCCTGGGACAGACGTTAAACTGACCAGTCTGTAGTTTCCTGGGTTGTTCTTATTCCCCTTTTTATAGATGGGCACAATATTTGCCCTTTTCCAGTCTTCTGGAATCTCCCCTGTCTGCCATGATTTTTCAAAGATCATAGCTAAAGGCTCAGAGACCTCCTCTATCAGCTCCTTGAGTATCCTGGGATGCATTTCATCAGGACCTGGTGACTTGCTGACATCTAACTTTCCTAAGTGATTTTTAACTTGTTCTTTGTGTATCCTATCTTCTAAACTTACCCTCTCTCTGCTTGTATTCACTACGTTAGGCACACCTCCAGACTTCTCGGTGAAGACCGAAACAAAGAAGTCATTGAGCATCTCCGCCATTTCCAAGTTCCCTGTTACTGCTTCTCCCTCCTCACTAAGCAGTGGGCCTACCCTGTCCTTGGTCTTCCTCTTGCTTTTGCCAGGGAACAGGGACAGCACGTGTAGACTCCCCCGCACCCCTGAGCAGAAAGCCATATGGAACAGCCAGCTGTTTTGAGCAGCCTGATGCTGTGACAGGCAAGGACTTTGACTTGGGGTCCTGCAGGGCTGCTGGCCAGGACCCACCTAGCTAAGCACCTCCTGGCTAGAACCTGCCTCTAGCACCCCAGCCCCTCCTGTATTCCAACTCCCTTTCCCATACCACCACCCAAACCCTCTGCATCCTCTCTTTCTCCTCCTCCAGGTCACAACTCCCTTCCAAACTCTACACCTCCTCCTACATCCCTCCTGTAGGCCAGAATCCTCTCATGTACTCAGACCTCCTCTCTGGCCTTGCACCCCATTCATCTGCCCTAGATCACAACCCCCTCCCTCATGCAAACTCCCTCTCAGACCGCACACACTTCCCTGCACCCCAGTCCCTGACCCTAAGCTCCCTTCTGCATCCAACCTCCATCCCAGACCGTGCAGCTCCTACATAGAAAAGTGAAGCCCTTGACCATTTACCAAAATCTTAGAGTGGCCCCCCATCAAAAATTATTGCTCACCCCTGGGCTGGGGCATTCACTTTATGCAGACCTCCAGTATGAAATATGGGATTCAAACTTAAGAGGGGGGCTACAGACCCTCCTAGATCCCTCCCATGGCATCCCTAGTTAATTTCTTTTGAAGCACCTGGCATTGGCCACTTTTGGAAAAAAGAAAACTGGCCTAGATGGACCCTTGGTCTGACCCAGTATGGCCGTTCTGATGTTATTATATGGAACCCAAATGTATCTGCTTCCTGCTGTAACTCACTAAACCTCATATCCCTCCCAGAGCTGAGACAGAGCCCCGAAGTCCTGACAGGGTCTCTTTTTCCATAGCTAGTAACAAAGTAAGAATATACATTACAATTTTAAGCCTAATCAGTGTCCCTTAAGAAACTTGCCAGAAGATATCAAAATATGTTAATATTAGAGCTGATTGGGTTTAATATTTATTTATTTTTCTTTCATATAGAAATTAGATACAGTGCTCCTGTTGGATAATTGCTAAGTTATCTGCCAAAAACCTTAGATTTTTCAAGTGCCTTAGTAGCTCCTGGAAAGATGTGATGTATGATTGTGTGTGTTGGGGATGGTGTCAAAGCTCCCCTACCCCCGATTTGCTGCCTGGCTTGTACTGAGCTTACTTGGTAACACTGCTGAAGCTGCTGTGCTCAGTCTATTCCCATGCCTCCTCCTCCCACATTGTGGCATGCAGAGGTCGCTTCCCCCAAATCTGAAATGGTGCCCTTGTTTACTGCTGACACTAGGATACAAGAACAGTTCACTGTCTGTGCATTCCTGAAAGGTAGACTTCCTGTGTGGTTAAGTAATGCATAGCAAATATCAAAAAACACAATCATCAAGGACCCTAAGAAAGAGACTCTTTGGGCCATAAAATATGTATGCAGATAATGACAACACATTCATAAGTATACCTTAGAGATCAGCAGTGCCCAGTTAAAGGTTGATGTTTGCTTCAGAATTCTGGTGCTATGCTTTCTCTATGTTAACTCTTGAAAAATTACAAACTCTACTTTACATTAATCCACTAGGCTTTGTAAACCACAAAAGTTCTTTAACAATCACATCTTTAAAATAGAGGGATCCTAAGTTATATTAAAACTATGCCAAAGGGGGTTAAAAATGTTCAAGAACACAGAGAAGTTTGAACCTGTTCAGTGAAACCAACCTACTCTGCAAATCTACTTAAAACAACAGTGTGTTACTCACAGGCTTTCTAACATCTGGCAGGGTAATCCACAATGGAAAAACAATAGGGAAAACAGCAAGGTACGTGAGCTTTTTGCGTAGGGTGTCAGGCCAGGCCAGGCTGAGTGGCTGCTCTTGATCATCATCTTCTGAATTCTGTCATAAAAATGGAAGTGAATAGAATGGTAAGTTGGGTGAATAAAGTCAGAGATGTCTTAAGAGAAAGTCATTCAAACTTAATGCCTTGAAGAAAGACCCATTAGATGCAGCTATATGACAACAATTGGGCTGGTATCATCACTGCTGGTGCAGGAATGTGCAAGCTGTTGTGCACAAAGGGGTTCTACCCACAAAGAAGGGCAGGTTATGTTCACGCTGTCACTCTCTAGGGGTGCGTCTGCACTGCACCATTACTTCGAGATTACTAGTGTTCTTTCAAAATAACAATGCGAATGTCCACAGAGCCATTCCATTATTTTGAAATAATTTTGATATAACGGACAGCTTATTCCGAAATATAAAAACTTCATTCTATAAGGAACAACACCTTTTCCAAAATAGCTATTTCGAAATAAGGCGTGTGTAGACGCTCCACTTCCGCTATTTTGAAATAGCCCCTCACCAGGGCCATTCTAAGTTATTCCTTCTGGGGCTCTAAATCGAGATAGCATGTTTACATTAGGGAAGCCTGCCTTGGACTAATTTTTAGGCTCCCCTGCAATGCAGACATGCTATTTCGAAATAAGCTTATTTCTAAATAAGTGTGCAGTATAGACATACCCTAGGACTATGTCTAGACTTCAGGGTTTTTTCAAAAAAAGTAGCCTTTTTTCAAAAACACTTCCCCTGCATCTAGACTACAGCCGCATTCTTTTGAAATTAAATCGAAAGAACATGGCTTTTCTTTCGACGGCGGTACTCCTCATTGTACGAGGAAGAACGCCTTTTTTAGAAAGTGCTCTTTTGAAAAAAGGCATTCTTGAATGCAAACAGGGCTTTTTCAAAAGAGAGCATCCAGACTGCTTGGGTACTCTCTTTCGAAAAAGCGGCTCACTTTTTCGAAAGAAGAGGTTGCAGTCTAGACGCTCTCTTTCGAAAGAGGCTTGTACTCTAGACGTACCCCAAGTGACAGTGGCTGGGGTGTGTGTGTGGGGGGAGGCATGGGCGGCGGAGCACTAAACTACAACTGGAACTGCACATGAACCCTGCTAGCAACGCTAGCCATTCTTTAGGATTGAACTGACCACTTCAGGCATTTTGGCAGAGTGGCGATTGTATTCATTCACCTTGAGCCTCTCTCTGACATATGTCCAGACATATTTCCACCGTTTCCTCTATTCAGGGTGATATTGCCCAACACCAAAATAACCCCTCCTGAATCAAGATCATCCATAATATTTTTCCCTCTGTCCTTCTAGTAGCACATCAATTTTTCAGCAGCTAACCAGCAAGACTAAAAAATCATCTATTTGATTATGCTACAAGTAGCTCAAGATTTTCGTCTTCACAATTTAAAATACTCCTATCAGTAGTTAGGGACACAAAGCCTGATTCTGATCTCATTTTCCTCAGTTTTATATCTTTATCATTAGAGTTTTGCCAGATTTACACAGATACAATCAAGCCCATAACCAGTCTCCTCTTGATGTGTTTGTACATGCAGTTGCTTTACCAAGTTCCTATACCTTAGAAATTCCCAATTTATCAGTGAACCGAAAAGACATAGGTATTTATCGTAACAAGGTTTTACAAATACAGACATGGGCACAATTTGTCACATTCTCACCACAGTACTTTAAGCATCTGAACAGTTTAAGAGATTGGCATGTTCTTTTATTTTTTTGTACACGGCCGAAGCACGCAGATGTTCTGCATGTCATTTCCATAATCTGTGGCAGTTTGACTCTTTAGAAAATCTGTGCAGGTGCAAAGATTTCTAAGACTACTTCCCTCAAACCAAATCTTCTCAGGGGTCAAGAGAGCCTCAGGCCACTTCCAGCTTTTGAGGACCCTACCCATAATAAAAATACAAAATGATGATACATGAAAACAAAATAAGGCACCAAAAAGTGAGGCATAATTTGCCTCTTTGCTTTTCTAGTCTTTTTCACATCTCTTATCTGCTTACATTCACAGCTCTAAGCTAAGAGAATGCATCACATTTTGGTCTGATAGGGATGTGCACAAAAACAAATTGTGAAACTTATTAAATGCCAAAAAATTAACAAGTGTCTATATTTGAGGCCTGCTTTGATCCCCTCCTCCCCAATTGTCGCTGCAAATCTGCTTTCTCTGTCTCCAGATTCTAGCAGAAGCTATTGGGGTGGAGGGATCAGATGAAGGTAGATATCTAGCTTTGAAATAATAAGAGGTAAAATAAGAGCTCAAAGGAAACAATTGAAAAGTTGCCTAGGTAACTATAAGCAACAGACTTAACAGCACTAAACCTCCAGAAAGACTAGTTTCAAAAACAGCACTGATTACTTTCTGAATTATCATATTCAGAGACTATCTGTGATTAACAATTCTCTTTAATTATGGTAACCCATTATATATATTTATATGTATCTGGACACACAAACATTTGTAGAACATACACATGTTAAATACACAATTCATGTATTCAGTACTTTCCATTCTGATCATATATCTTTTGATCCTGCTCTATATTCTGTGTAAATCAGGATTCTACTGGCTTTTAATGGAATTACTCCTGATTTGCCCAAGTGTCAATATGCTCACAATCAGGCCCACTGTTGTTTTACATGGGCATAAAAATATCATAAACTCTGAAATATCAGAAACTTACCACATCATTCTACAGAGGAATGAAAAGGAGGCCAATTATAGTAACAAATTTGGAACTGGGGAACATGAAGTTATCTGAACAAAATCAAAATTTCTTCAGTACAAAACAAAAACTTTCACTGATGGCTTTACCAAGATTGAGGAGCAAGTCTTCAAGTTTATGTAGCAAAAAATTTAAAACTGGCATTTATATAAAAAAAAATACAAAGAACCTCAAGGCAATAACATGACACTGTGAATGGCTATGGAACTATGAACAGATCGCAGCTTCTGGAATTCTGCATGTGATGCTGGGTTCTAAGCAGAGATTTTGCTGATGCTGTACTAAAGAAAAATGAACAATACACCACAGTTGGATGCAGGTCTCTTAGGGTGTGTCTACACTGCAGGGTTTAATGCAAAATAAGCTATGCAAACTGAGCTACGTCAATTGCGTATCTTATTTTGAAATAGCTTATTTCGAAATAGGCAGCATCTACACAGCACTTATTTCGAAATAAAGCACTCTTCCTCCAACTTTCCTTACTTCTTGTACAATCAGGGTTACAGGGGTCGGAGTAAGAAGTCCTCCAGTATTTTGGCATTATTTTGAAATAACTGCCTGCTGTGTAGACGCGGACTAAGTGATTTTGTAATAATGCTAGTTATTTCGAAATAATATTGCTGTGTAGTCGTACCCTTACTGATTGCCATGGCCTGCAAATGGAAATAACAATCATAGTGATCTAGAGATGCAAATGATGAGGAAGCCCCTGTTTTGTAGTCTCTTTTCCACTGTCCTATTTTTAAAACAAGTGTAAAAGATATACACCAGAAAAAAATACTGCACAGATAGCATAGTAAATAGCACAGTAAATAGCCTTGGGAATACAATGATCAATCCCTTTTTATGGCAGTGCAACTATCCCTAAATTACACAAAAATTAATATCAAGAGAGATCTGGGCAATTTTTTCAGGCTCAATGCAATATCAAAGGAGAAGATTTTCAGGCAGCAGAAAAATATGCTTATTGATCAAAAGAATCAAGCACTTTGGGATATATTATTACCTTTCAGTAAAGGATTCTGTCATCTCTTGCTCTTTCTTTCCCAAACTGAAGCATTTAAAATATTCTGGGAAATACATCCAGTGACTGAGACCAAACTTATAATCAGATTCAAATCATGCTAATTTGATTAAAAGGGCCACACATTCTTTTGAAGGGAATAAATGAATCAGACATGAACTTCATCCTAAAATGTGCTGCTCTTTGGTGAAGAAAACTAAATCCACTAAATCATAGTTGCTTAATCTGTTTAGTAATCATGCTAAAAACAATGAAGGTGTAGTGATGTGTTCTCATTGCATCCAAATACCTTTTCTTTTCATTAAAAGTTGTCTTTGAGATTGTTGGCATATTTAAGTTTTCCAATTAGGTTTCCATAGAAACAAGTGAAAGTGTGTGTGCGTGCGTGTGTTTGTGAGGTGGGAGGAGAAGGTGTTAACTTGAAATTGGATGTTATTTTTAGAAAAGGCACAAGTTAGAATGATTAGAGCTGAAGTTGCTTAATCAAATACTTGTTAAGGAGGATGATGAGGGAGAACTTTCAGAAGGATCATTTCTCCATATGGCAGCCTATAAAATATTTAATGAGATACCATCATTGTCCTTCTAGTCCCCTTTTCTTTTTGTCAGACACGCTCAGTACTGAGCTATAAATATAACATATTATATAATGGAACTTTCTCCTTCATGGAAATCTGTTAAAGGTTAAAAGGAAAAATATAATAACTAGGACAAACTCCAAAGTAAGATGGAATATATAGCAAGAGGGAAGAAACCATAACAAAAAGTCACAACAAAAAAGGAACATTTTACAGTTTGGATTAGAAAGAAAATTATCCCAGGGCATTTTTTTCCTTTCAAGAGGGCTGAGCCAACACTCACTAAAGTCAATAGGAGTCATTGCTTTTGACTTCAGTGGGACTTGAACTGGACCCAAGGTTAATATAACTGGCTTAGGTTGGTGGACAGGGCTACTCAAAACTCCTGCAAGCACCGACAATGTAAGCAGAGACCTGGGCTTATTCCATGGAGCTCTGGTCTGGTAAGAGATCCAGCAGAACTTAGACCCGCTACTGGAGAAGACTGGGGTTAGGAGGTGAAGATTCGAAAATGGGCCTGGGACGAATGGAAGGAACATGATACTGAGGATGGGCAAAAATTAGATTCAGGGAAAAAATGTTGTTGTTTTGTTTTGGCACAACAACAAAACTAAGGAGAAGGAAAAAGCAAAGAGAAAGAAGGTAGAACGAACAGAAAGGTGTCGAGTTGAGTTACATTTATAAAATAAAGTATTTCAAAATGCTATAAAATAAAGAAAATTGTAAAAAGTTCCTTGATTCTTCAGCTTTAAACTCAGATCACTCTAAGAAGCCCCTCTTCTCTTCTTCATTAGGAGGCTTTTGTTCTATGATCCTAACCCACTTGTTCACCAGCCAACCATTTTCAGAACAGCAACGTTTCCCTGAAGGCAAATGGGATGTTTGATCCTTCAGGGTGGAGAATGCCTCAGTTTCTGTATGCCAGATGACTGGCAGATAGCTAATGTAACACTGGTTTTTAAAAATGGCTTCAGAGGCAAACATGCCAGTTACAAACTGATGAGCATAAAGTACCCAGGCAAATTGGTTGAAGCGATAGTAAAGAATCAGATATACAGATGAACTTGATTTGTTGGGGAAGAGTCAACATAGCTTGTGTAAAGGGATTTCATGCCCCTCCAATCTATCAGAATTCTTTAAGAAGGTCAACAAGCACGTAGGCAATGGTGATCCAGTGGGTAAAGTGTACTTAGATTTCCAGAAAGCCTTTGACAAGGCTGATACAGCAATGGCAAGGGAGGTTATTTTTGTTAAATTTTCCATAAAAATGTTTGATATTTATTACGAAAATTTTTTACCCAACATTTGCATCAAAATCACTATTTTCATACTGAAATTGTGAACTGTTGCCTCTGATCACCTGAGAGATAATTTTTGCTTCAAAACAGGCCACTACTGGTCAAAATTGTCCCATGTTCAAATTTAATCAATATTTTTATAAAGAAAAGACTTTTAATTTTTGTAAGAGAATGGAAAATGCTTTCAAATTTCAAAGAATTTAAGTTCCGGTGTGATTACTTTATAAAAATGTGCAAAATAGCTGTCAGAATAAGGCTGGAGTGGCTAAGGTGTGCAATAGTAAGCTCCGATGTACACTAGATCAGTCAGGTTAGCTTAAGCAAAATGCGTAGCTAGATTCAACTTACCTTAAGTCGAGCTGCTGCAGCGTCTACACTGCAGGAGGCTGACAGGAGCACATGCTCCCAACGGCTTCCTTACTCTTTGTAGACTGAGGGGTAACAGATGCTGGCAGGGGCATTCAATTTGGGGGTCTACACAAGACCTGCTAAATTGAACACTAGAAGAACAACCTCTGGAGGGTCGATCTTCTCTGTAGTGGAGCCATGCCCTTACAAAGTAATGCTTAAGAGTAGAGATCTAATGGATAATTTATAATGAAAAACTAAAATAGGTTAACAACAGAGGTAGCATTTCCTTGCAATTTGCCAATGTGGAACAACTTTTGCTATAACTTATCTAAGAAAAATGCTAATGATTTGACTGTGTAATTTAAACTTAAAGTGAACCTCAGTATGAACTTCAATGCCAAGAATTGCTTTTTATGAGGGTTTCTCTCTCCATAGTGCCTTGAATTTTAGGTTCTGGTTTAAGAGCATGTAAGATCAAGATTCTACTTGGTAAAAGCCAGCTCACTAGCTTTCCGATATAGTAACACTATGCAGGAATACATTTATCAAGAGAAAGAGAGAAAAAAGCAGACAGTAACCTCTTCAATTCCATGGGCAATGTTTCCATTTTGCACTGGTCCTGAGCCATCATTTGGTGGTGTTACTTCAACTTCCACTTTTGCTGCATTTGGGAGTTCAATTTTTTCTGTAAGATCATCCATAAATGGGAAAAAACAGAACAAAGAAATATAACAAATCTGTTAGTGATACTACACTCATATTTCAGTATATTTGAATTATTAAGTGTTAACAATAAATCACTTACACACATACATATATGAGAGAGAAATTCTGGCTTCATTTATACTGGTGCATTGCAAACCCATGGAAAAGATAAATTTGCATAGACGTAACTTAGAGTGAAATTTTATCGTTGAGAGCTTTGCCTCCGAATAAGGAATGCAGAATCTATTTTAAAAGTGGCTGTATTTTAGAAATGTTCTTTTTAATGTTTACATTCTTAATTGAAACTTAAGGACTCTGTACGCACACAAAAACCTTACTAAACCTATGAGAAGTCTAACACTTTTAAGTCAAAAGTGACACTAAACCACTTTATCATCAAGTAATAAAATATAGGATGATGCATTGTCAGCTAGAGGGATGGATAAACTTATAAACAGACACAGAAACTTCACTAAAGAACATTTTCCATCGGTAGTTAGGAAAACTGAAATTCTGTCACAAATGTCATGAAAGGCACAGATTTTATGGTGGTCATGTAGTTTTTTAAATGTACTTCTCTATACAAATAGCTAACCATGGTTGGTACAACTTCATTAGACCAAAACTTCAAAATTAAACTTTGGGCTGGTCTCCACAGCTGTGACTAGGCAAAGATGTAATTGTTCATGCTAAAACCTTGGTGAGGTAAATGGGAGAGTAGGCACTCCAGGATTTAACCTTACTTTTGAGTAGTGCAATTCCTTTTCCCATAAGCATCCTAAGAAACTTCTAAATAAGAAGTGTGACAACATTTCAGCTGTTATTATTAGATAAAGATGGTAATGGCCAGAAATCTATTCAGAAGTCACGAAGAAACAAAAGCTGACACAATGAGACGTATTTTGTCTGATGTTGCTGTACAAAGAAGTAAATGTAGCTGTATGGATGCATTACTGCTGCACTCAGATTCTTCCTTAATTAAAATCTGAGATCGTATCTGTGATTATTTAACTCCTGTACTTACCAGCATGATTAGCAGCCCCATTCCGTCTTTCACTGTCTTCCACCTGGCACTTCTTTTTGGCAATCTTATGAAGAATTGAGGCTCTCTCTTTAAACTTTCCTAAAAGAAAACATTGTCACTGTTCAAGTGCAGCCATTCCGAGATGCAATATTTCTCTGTAATAACTTCCTCTATAAACCAAAACCAAAAATTAATTTATATTAATCCTAAATAGTTGGCTAACTCATTATTAAACATTATTTGACATTCATGCGTCTGTATATTTTTGTTTCTTAGAGAGTTAAGAATTTAAAATTTGTGTCCTAAAACCCAAAGAGAATATTTTTTTCGGATGATGCAGCCAATCAAGTTTGCATAACAAAAGTGAAAGATGAATAGCAAATAAACAAACATGCTGTAAGTAAAAAACACAATTTCTGATCTGCAACGAGAACATAGGAATTACTATACTAGATGAGATCTGTGTTCCATCTAGTCCAATATTTTGTTCCCACTAGTGGCTAGTACAAAAATATGCAAGAATCATCTCCATAATTCAAAATGTCTAAATAACCTTCCCACAGACTAATTTTAATCTAAACCCTTGCCATTTAATGCTACATCCTTCTCTTCAATTTTGTACATAGCTCTCTGGGGGTGTGTCTAGACTACAGGGTTTTTTCGAAAAAAGTGGCCTTTTCTCGAAAAAACTTCTCTGCACCTAGACTGCTGCCGCATTCTTTCGAAAGTAAATCGAAAGAATGCGGCAGTTTTTTCTACCACGGAAAACCTCGTTTCGAAAAAAGGCGCTATGTAATGCAAACTGTGCTTTTTCGAAAGAGAGCATCCAGACTGCTTGGGTGCTCTCTTTCGAAAAAGCGGCTTGTTTTTTCAAAAGTACTGGTTGTAGTCTAGACGCTCTTTTTCGAAAGAGCCTTTTTCGAAAGTATCTTTCGAAAAAGCCTCTTTCGAAAGAGGCTTGAAGTCTAGATGTAGCCTGGGGGTGTGTCTAGACTACTTCCCTCTTTCGACAGAGGGATGTAAATTAGACACTCCGAAATTGCAAATGAAGCCGGGATTTGAATTTCCCATGCTTCATTTGCATAATTGCATCATAGCGCTCTTTCGAAAAAGCGCTATTTCAAAATTGCAACTGCAGTCTAGATGTGGTTCTTTCGAAAATAGAAGCTTTTTTCGAAAGATCCTGTAAATGTCATTTTTTAAGGCATACAGGACTTTCGAAAAAGGCTTTTGTTTTCGTAAGAACTGCGTCTAGACTGCGGTTTCAATTTTGAAATAGCACTTTTTCGAAAGAGCGCCATGATGCGATTATGTAAATGAAGCACGGAAATTCAAATCCTGGCTTTATTTGCAATTTCGAAGTGTCTAATTTACATCCCTCTATTGAAAGAGGGATGTAGTCTAGACACACCCTGGATGTTTTACAATAGTTGCTCTATGAGTTGTGGTTCTATCACTTATATGCCTTGTGTATTTTTATCCTACTGTATGTGTCTATGATTTCTTTCTTCTGTCACTTTCTCCCCTCATTGTAAATATTACTGATAAGGTAGAATGCATACCTATTATAACATAAAGGTCCTATAAGAAGGTCCTAATGTAACATAAAAGTCCTATTATATAATCCTTGCTCAATCTTAAACTCCCATTGAAATCAATTGGAGTTTTGAGGGAACAAAGTTTTGACTGGTTTAGGACAAAATGGTATTTCATTAAAATCAAGCAACACTACCCAAAGGATACATTCTGTCAATTAACTTCAAAAAGTAAAGAGAAACCATAACAAACAAACTTTTATTTCGTGTTTCCAAATATAAGTCAAAATTACGATAAAGTCAAACTGTGGTGTTTAATGTAATCTACTAATAAATCACAGGTCTAAAATAATAACTAGCTCAAAACAACTTGGGAATGTTTAGAAAGCTGGATATCATAATGGAATAATGACATGCTAATGCACCAAGAGATCAAGAATGATCATTTATGGGGAAATGGAATTAAATGGTCAAATGCTAACCTCCCGCTGAGAAAAAATAATAAAAGAACCGTCTGAAAAGCATCACAAGGCAAAATAATATGTGTTCAGCCAGAAGAACAGTAAGGAATATCACAGGCAGGTTTTTTTTCAGTTGCTGAAAAAATGTATATGGGGATTTTGAAATTCTTTATATACAGTTCACAAGGTAAAACAAAAACAGCCTGCAGAACAGAGGAGCAATGAAAAGAAAAAGGTCAGGTCACCTCTTCATTGTGCAAGGTCAATGCCAGAGAATATAATTCAGAGACATAAAGGAAAAAGAGACAAAAAGCTGAATAAAGAATAAAGGAGAGAGAAAGGGAAGAGCCTGAAGTGTAAGATGAATTGAAGAGGAAAAGGAAAAGGAAAAGAGGAGAAAACAGTCACACCTATTATTTTATAATGTAATGGTTAAAAAGTTAAGTATTTCCATTTACAACACTGGAGTCATCTTCACAATTTCACTGACTTGGGTGAAAAACATGGCATACACACAAGTTGTGGAGGAGTGTGTGCTTATACTCACACAGACATGCCTGTTTGCACACATGAATTGGGGGCACAGTGCCCAAGGTGGATGCATAAAGATTTTTTGAAATCTGGTCCATAATGTCCAAGGTGTACTACTACATTCTTGGGAACATGGGTGAATGAAAGTCTTCTAGAAGTCTATACGAAAGATTTATTCTTCATTGGCACTTTTACGTGATGTTGTTAACCCTCTACCGACTACTGTCAGTATTTCCACAGAGAGCAATAAGCAAGTAATAATTTCAGATTAATTAATGTTTTGAAGAAAAATACAAAGAAGAGTTGCACAGCATTCTTCCTACCTGTGTTATTGTTACTATTAGAAGCACATCCAGCAACTTCTCATTTCTGGTTCAAAATCAGACAACTTTTCCCCTAACCCCAACACTCTTTTTAAAAGGTAATACTCTTTTTTAAGGAGTAATGCAGATATGTATATTTTAGATGGGCCATGGCTTTGTTTTGTGCAATACTGAAGAATATTTAGATTTTTCATATTGCACTGCAATTGTAAGGGCAGATGAAAGGTCAGGGGAAACTGAGGGGGGTCGTGGCCAGCTGGCTACATTCCTGTGAGGGACAGGGAGTGTCCAGTTGCCTACAGTCAGGGTGCCAGCTTTGAATCATAATTGATTTTTGAGTTAAGTAAGATCACTGGAGTAAAATCATGTACCACTCATCACCTCAGAGAGAATATGTTAGGTGCACCAGAAGAGCCTAAGAAAACCAACTGGAGGAAGTATGTCAGACCATTAGTTCATGCATATAACTGGGTCATTGTTGCTAGGCAGATTTAGCATTTCACACCCAGAAGCTTCTGCAGTTGTGTGTGGTAGTTTAGGGTCTGTCTCTGTTTCTGGGGTCAGACTCATGAGCAAGAAGGCAGGGCAGCTGCTTTTCTCAGCTAAAACTCACACATGTGCCCTCTGTGAATTTTAGCCAAACTGTTCTAGTTTGCTTTCTCAGTCAGTATGATTCTTCAACTCCTCTTTCTATTTAGTAATGGAGAAAGAGTCATTTCTATTTTGTTGTTCTCAGGTTTTGTATTTTCTTGTAACAGGGTTTTTTAAAGCGTGTTCACTTGTGAGTTAACTGACTAGTTTAATCAGTGAGCTGGCTGCTTAGCAGTAATCCACAGCAGAGGAAGAGGCTGCCTGGACTTCAACTGAGGATTCCCTACAAGCAAGTGGAGAGATGGTTCAGACTCAGCATATGGTACAGATCTGATGATCAGAGGCACAAACTAAGGCTTTGGTGAACTAAATCTAAGCTTTTGAAACCTCTCAATCTTTTCTCACTGTGTTTACTTTTTTTCTTTATACTTATGTTTACTGTAACTATGGACATTATTTCTGGGTTATAACATAGCTGTGTTCTGTTGTAAGAATTAGATTATTTGTTTCTTCATAAGATTTTTATAAAGTTATTTAATTAAATTCATTTCTTTAGTTTCTTTTGGAACTTGAATGTAGGGAGGCTGACACTGGGCAATCCTTGCTGAAATTCCTTACAGACTGTACTGTGGGTCTCCAGTACTGTATGGCTGTGAGAGTGGGGGTATTTTTTAGGCACTGGAGAAGAGCAGTGAAGTCTAGGGTTGCCAGATGGTTTAACCAAAAATACTGAACACCCTCCCCCAAAAACCCCACACCGTTAAGAAAAAAAGGGGGGAGACAAAAAAAAAGGGACCCCGACAGTTATTAAGCCAAAAAAAAAAAAAAAAAACCAAACCAAACCAAAAAACAAAAACAAAAACAAAAATAAAAAAAAATACAAATATGGCCTTTGGGGTTTTTTTTTGCCGGCAGCCATCTTGTTTTCTTACTCAATGTGGGAAGAGAGTTCTCCTGAGGAACCAGGTAAGAGGAGGAGAAGGGGCTCAGGAGTGGGGGTCCGGGTTGGGGGGAGTGGTGGGAGCTGGGCCCGATTGCTGAGTGTGGTAAGGTTGCCAGGTGTCTGGTATTTTCGCTTCCGGACTGGAGGCGAAAATGCCGGACTGTCCAGGTCAATACTGATACCCGGCAACCCTAGTGAAGTCTAGCCCACCCAAGGTTATACAAACAAACTCCTAGCTTTTATTTCAGTGCAAGAATGGTTTTGCATGGTTTAGTTTTTGTCAATTAGAAATGGATTTAAACCAAATTTAATTAAGCCACTCTTAAACTGAACTAAAGTTGTCCACACTTTTGTACTGCTTTGACAGCAGTTTAAAAACTTATTTAAATTAAATCAGTGCAACTTTCTTCTGTAGACCAGGCCCATTTTTCTCCCAGGGCCGTGTTTTTCTCTACATTACATTTTCTAACCTACTTTTAAAAGTCCAAAGAGATAAAATATCGAGTACTGCCTTTGCAAGATTTTTCTACACCCAGAGATCACTGTGAAGAAAGTGATTCTTAACATTAAAAAAAAATGTTATCTTTCTTACTTTTTGTCCAGTAATCCCAGTTATAACCATTGTATCACTCTACCTCCTTCTTCTCCATTCTTGGGGTCCCAATGTGACTGATCTTGCATTTGTGCCCCCTGTGCCCTGAGGATGAGTGGGAGG